TATATAAGGAGTAAATGTGTAAGTATACATCTTACTGAGCTAAGTGTTACATGTGCTACACATTTGGTATATATATAATTACATAAAAATTGTGAATAGTATAACACCCTCTTCTTCAATTTCTTTTTGCCAGACATATTAAATTACTATGCGTTAAACAAACTTCTAGATTAATAGGTAATGATTTCCAACTAAAAAAAAAAAAGAAATCGTCATGAATTCCATTATAGTGCATTGACAGTGACAGTTTTGCTTTTCTATTTTTGATGTATGTATGTGTGCTTGTATGATATTCATGCTATATTTATTAAAAAATACCATAGTGTTTCTTGCTCTTTCTTCGTCATGCTATAGATTTAATATTAAAGGATTTCGTTTTAATGTTTTTCTATCTAAAATTAAATATAAAGCATGAAAAGTAACGTAATATAGATATACGAAAAGAAAAAAAAAGAAAAGAAAAATGAAAACCGCTAAATTAAAACCAACAATAATTAGATTTGAAAATTAAAAAAAAAATCTTTTTTTTTTTGTAATGCCATTGATGAACGATGTGATTGATGAGTTGACATGATTTTTTCTTTCTAAGGTTTTAATTTTGAAATAAAAGAAGGGGATTTTTAATGAGATTTTTTTTCGTGGTGTTTTTCCAAAAATACCACAATTCGTGGTGAACGTATTATTAATTTTATGCTTTTTTTTCGTTTTTGGTGTTTAATTATTTTTTTCATTACTTTAATTACCAACACCTTATTAAAAGACATTAAATAGGTAGTTGCGGTTTATTATAAAACATTAACCATTCACCAGCCTCGTATACGTATATGCATAAATGAATATACAAAATATAATATGGGCAATTCATTGATATGAAGGGTTTCAAAATTAAATTATAAAATTACAAGAGTTATCAGCCTTTAAATTAAATTAAAAGTTAAAAAAACAAAATGAAAAAAAAAAAACATGCTGGTCCAAAAATAGCAGAAATATGATTGAAAATTTTATGTTAATGAACTTTTAAAATTCAATATTTAAATTTTTAAAAATTGCATTTTTATAGCACCTTCACACTTATTTATTTTTAGACAATTTTTATTTTTAAAAATTAAAGAGGGAATATGAAATTTTATGAGTTCATCCATAAAATATTATTGAAAATTAATAAAGTCGATTCTATATAACATTATGGAAAGGAATATTTTCAAGTAAAGTGGGGTTCAACCAATAGTTTGTAAAGTAGCACTTTTCTCTTAAAAAAATACTGTTTTCAAATTTTTTAAGTTACTTTCATTGATATACAAAATCATAAAAAAATATTGCATACATTTAGGATGAGGGAACAAAAAAATATTGAAAAAGCGTTAAGATTATGAGTGAACCCGTTAATATAACGGTACAGTAAGTGAGTTGAGTAAAATAATTATATTTTATAATTTCATAATATTTACCGTTACATTTCTGCTTAAATTGAATTTCCTAAAAACTGGCAATTTTGCAAATATAGAGCACCGAAAATTGAAATTTCAGGAATTGAATTGTATTAAAAATTACGAATGACAATATCTCAAAAGGGGGTTGCGGTAGAAAAAAATTTTCTTCTAACAAAGTAAACTCTTTATGAGTTTCTAAATGTTGCTAAAATTTTAAACTTATGTATTTTACGGGCTAGAAGAAAAAAAGATATCAAAAATTTGAAAAATTCTTAACTATGCAATGCCGCAGTGAAAAAAGGAAGCTTTTATTTTGCTGAGTTAGAAAAATTTTGTGATATTATTTAAGGTTATTGAAATTTTAATTTACTTCAGGAATACAACGTTAAAATATACAAAAATTTAATATTGTTTTAGACTTTTTTATGAAAATTGTAAATTTGTTATTAAATATTTTTAAAAATGCAAAGTTTTTTACGTTTTGTGTGGTCTTTTTAGTTGAAATTCCTATAACATACATAATGTACGATATTTCTATTATCATCTTATCATCTTATTTTAATACTGTAATGTAATATCATAAAAATCAAATGATGAATAACTCAGTTAGTAGATGATAACAATTATGATCACTTATTATGAACAACGATTGATAAAATAAATTAGAAAAATTGGCAATTTAATGGATCACATTGCCTGAGAATGTATAGGACCATTGCTTTGTTTAGTGTACTAACCATGGCAGGGCCAGAACTATAGAACTATATTGTTTAGGTCATTAGTTATATAGCTAGTAAGCACGATATTATAAATAGCATTTAATATTTTATTCCATTAAAAAAAACAATTAAACTGAATATTTCATTAAAGTAATAAGTGGTTTTAATTTATTAAAAATAAGGTTATAAAATACTCTAAAATACCGAAATCTAAATTTTTAAGCTAAAAACATAGTTTTTATTGTTCTATTATGTTATTAATTCAAAATTCAATAAGTACCTAACTTTAAAAATTTTAATGAGATTCTTTTAATAACTCCAATTTCCAATTTATAATTTATAAGTTAATTAACTAAAAATATACATCTGCAGCTACAGTTCGCAATTAATAACCCTAAAATATTAAGTAAGTCAACTTGAGAATTAATTACATCGCATAAAATATCAAAAGTAATTATGGCGAATCACATTAACCAAAATCTCATTGAAAATTTTTAACAATGATTTCTGGTTTAATTACGAGTACTTTCTTTCTATACAAAAAAAAATCAAAATAAAAAAAATATCTTTTTGAAATTACAATTTTAATGGTTACAATTCCTATATAGCTTTTTCAATGTTACAATTTCGTTGTAATAATTATTTAAGTCTTTTAGAATAAAGGATTCTAATGAAATTTTTTTAATTTATATACTTTTGTATAACATTAATTCAATATTAAGAATTTGATTTTATGTGGTTTTTACTTTTTGGTTAATCAGGTTTCCTAATTAATTGCTATAAGAGCTTTTTTTTTGTTTTTTGAAATAATCAAGAGAAATCAATAGAAAAACCATTTATTTATTTTCAATTGAAAATTATTTTTGAATTGTTAGAATAGCGTGTATTGTTCTAAAATAATTTAAGCGTATTGTACTTATATTAGTGGTTAAAATCATTTTAAAATTTTTGCTTCAAATTACACAAATTCTAGAAGAATGGAAAAGGTGGGCATTGTGTAAATTTGTTTTGTTTTTTATTTGCCATATAAAAATTTAATTTTCCTTAAAAATCAATAAAAGCATTTTGAAAAGATTTCATGTATTAAAAGGAAATAGAAAATAGAAAAAAAAAAATAGAAAAAAAAAATATTTTTTTTTCTCTCAGGAAAATTTTTATTGTTGAAATTTAGAAAATTTATTACTTTTTCCACCTTTTCTTATTCTGCGTAAAGCTAGATGTATACAAGACCAAGAATGGGAAAAAAAATAGGAGAATCTAAATTGATTTTTGGACGTGATAAAATTTTTGAAATGTTTACTTGTCTTCGCAGTCTTACCTTTCCTCTTGTAACATTTTAATTAATTACGGGTTATTCTTACAGGGCTACACTTTACGACTTCAAATCATTTTTTACTGATCGCAATGCATGTAATAAAGGAGGCATTGTGATCGTATCAAGTTGTGTATCTTAAATTTTTAACAAAAGTACATTTTTAGTTGAAGAACGTAAATAAAATATTTGTAGCGAGATGTCGATCTGGTTGTTTGTGAGTCATCAATTTTCGTTAAATTGATTTTCATTTATACTTTTAGCTTTTATAATAACAGAACTTTATTGAAATTTCATTTACCTAATGGTTTTTATTTAAAGTTAACCTTTGGATGGTATTGAATTCTGTAGAGTTTTTGAATTCTGTATTAATTATGTCAAAAATGTACGGTATTTTTGTTTAATTAATGTTTTTGCAAAACCCAAAATTTTATATACGACTATAACTCGACTACAACTCGCCTCACACTGGCTATTGTCATACCGTTGTGTAGGCCTATACCAATTGAAAAAAAATCTTTTGAACAAAACATTGTTGTACCCTTAACAGCTTTGAAGCTGGAAGATTTTTTTCAATCCGATTTTCTTTAACACTCCAAAATTATCCCCAGACGATTCCAACTCGGAAATCAAGAGTGCTCTGTTCAAATTAACTTTATAACTTTATTATATATATTTACAATTTCCTGTAATTATTTCCTTAGTTTTGCTTTAGAAAATTCACTGTTGTGTATATAATATTCAGGAAATAGCGGTATAATTACTTCTTGGTCGGTCTTATGCTGGCCACAACAAATTTTTTGTATTTTATTTTATATTTTTAATTTGTTTAATATGAACATTATTTTTAAAAAAATTTTTCAATGTTTATAATTTAGAAGTCTTGTGACAAAATGTCTGCGAATTCAATTTGACCGGAAATGAAAATAATTTTTATTTAATGAATTTACGTGTGCTTGTTCAAATATTAAATAAGTGAAACATTTGTATGTGCGTATATATTTATATTTAGAATAAATACAAGATTTGTGTATTGTACATAGTTATTCATAGGAAAATTCTACCTTATAGTATACGAGTTACAATAAAGCACTTTAATAAAAAAATGTTTGTGTATTAGTAAAATTTATTGTGTTTATGCTAAAAGTAACTTTGGATTTTGTTGTAACCCAAGCATTTTACATGATTTGTTTTTAATTGTTTAATAGTTTCTACTTTATTTTCGCAAATTTTCGGTATGATTTCCCAGCGTATAATTGAAAATTGAAATATTCAATTGGATATCAAAAACTTTTTCTTGAATGTAATTCATCATTAAATGCGTTCAAAACAAAATACATACATATAAGTAAAATTACATTCATCTATTTTTGTCCTAGTTCAATTCATAGCAATTAATTAAAATTTTGCTTCTTATGTTTTTTGATGAGTTTCTCTCTCGTTTTTCTTTAAAATTGAAAATATTTTTAAAAATTCAATAAAATTAATTTTAAACTTTAATTAAATTTCTAAAAAGTAATTTTCTTTTTTTCATTTCAGGTGAGTAATCAAAAATATTCAAATATTTCTTGCGTTATTTATCACAAATTGACCTTCAGATAGGTAAGTAGAATTGTAAATTTAATTGAAAACAACAGTTTTGTTTACAATTTTAAACAACTTTTAGTTCAATTTCAAATTCTTTAATATTTGTTGCTTTCCCTGAAAATTATAATATCTGGAAATTAAGTGAGATTTTAATAAAATATCACATAATACAAATATTTTATAGTACCCTCGAGAAGCCGAAAACTGGTTATAGTATAGTTGTTAAAGCATTTTACCGTGTTGTATTTGACGTAAACCAATATTCCACTGCTGTTTCAATACGGTTCTATGCATGGTTTTGTAGAAATGGTTGAACAGCTGGAGCCCTTCCAGTATATATTTCAGTAATAACAAAATTTTGCTGTAATGGCGATAAAATATACATAAAATTTCTTCATTATTGACTCAAAATTTTTACTATTTAAATAAATTTTATATTATACTTTATAATATAAAATATACTTTATAATTAAAAATCATAATTTCCAATAAATAAATATAAAATAATTCTGTTTGATATTCAATGATTTCCTTAAAAACTTGTCACAAAACGTTTCATCATAAGCAATATTCTTATTGATGTTCTTTGGTGCGTGAATAAAAAATACCACCTAGGTTAACATGAGCACCTTTAGTAGTATCTTTATACTTAATGTATGATAATAAATCTTAAGGTATAGGCATTGATACACAAAAAATATGTATTAAAAGTGGAAATATATGCTTCTATATAAAACATGAGAATCTTATGCCCTTGAATTTCTTTTTGTATATTTTATAGAAGTTCAATCAAAAATTTAAAAATAAATTTAAAATAAAATTGGAAGTTTACCATAGTAATTTAAAATTTACTTGGAATAATCGTTTTGATATTTTCTTAGAAGTTTCAATTATTTTTTTCTTTCTTCCTCTCTCTCTTTCATTTTCGAAAAGAAAAATGAAAAAATAAATCCCTTAAGATGACATTGTATCTAAATACATGTGCTTAAATTTTAAAAAAAAAATTTTTTTTTTTTATTTAATACTTAATGGATTCTAAAGAAAAATTGGGCTTTTAAATGAGAATTCTAATCAATATAAAGTTTTTGACGAGGGTGGGCTGTAATATATAAAAATTAACATTTCTTTAAAATTTCAACATTATTTAGTTTAATATGGATTACAAAAAATTTCAATCAAAATTATTTTAGTAACTTTAAATGACTAATTTCTTTACGTTATTTAACAACTAATCATTCCATTTTAAATTTTTATACTCGTAATAAATCGCACAGGAATTTCATTTACTTATACTATGTATGACACGAAATTGAAATTTTCAAAGATTATTTTAGGTTCCATCCAAACGCCTACAAAAATATTAAGTAGAAGCTATTTCAAGAGCAATTGTGTTGATCGAAAAGAATTCACGACAATTCATTATTGTAATTTAATCTCAATGAATTATATAAATTTTTTACTGGCGCCCGATGTGGGGCGAATCTATCACTATTAAATATAACAAGCAATTTTTTAAATCGAATTTTCTCAATAAATTCATTTTGATAATAAAAAAGTATATATGTATATACAATATTTAAATTTATAAAAACGCAACTGTTGTAGAGAAAATTTTCACATAAAATAAAAAAAAAATGGAAAGAAGTTTTACATTATTCAAGAATTTTCGGGATTATTTTGATTTAAAAAAAATAAAAATGAGAAAATTGTGAGACGAATAAATAAAAATCCAGTTTAAAACCAACTATCTGTTTAAGCTTTAATTTAAGTCCTCAAACATTCAAAATTTTTTTACGGTACAGAAGATATAGCACAACAACCACAAATATTGTGAGCAACAAATTCAATTTAAATCAAACCTGATATTGACGAAACTAAAATTAAATTTAATTTAATATTTCTTTATCAATTTAATATTCTTTTGTTTTAATTTTACAGATTTCTAAAAACAAACACTCAATTCTATGAAATTCACGAAATTCTGAAAAAAATTTATGTTTTTCTTCTTTGAAATCTACTTCTATTAAATTGCATATTTTAAACTAATTGCTTTACTGGAACACCTCTTTAGTTGCATCAATAATCAATTTAAGTTTTTGTAGAAATTAGTTTAAAATTTATTAATCCCATCAAATTATTTATTAATTATTTATTAACTTCATAAGGCTAATATCTTATTATGTACAAACTCCATTTTGTTTAAAAAAGGTAAATTTTCCTATTAAAAATTTTTTATTTTCAATTAAAATAAATGTCAAAATTTGTATGGCATATCTTTAAAAATTCGCTCCAGGTGGATAATTTTAATAACAACAGATGCCAAATGGTGTCTACATTTCGAAAATATTTTTTTCAAATTTTTAAATTGCACCCAATCTCAGAAAAATGCATTTAAAAATTTCAAACCATATAGGTCCCATTTCTTACAAAAATTGGCAAAAATAAAAAACCTATCAATTTTCTTTACCAAGAAAAGTTTCGAAAAAAATTTTTTTGATTACTAGATCTTTTTTTGTAATACAAAAATCTATTTTTTTTTTAAAAAAATTTCAAATTTTTTAAAATCAATTTTTGTTTTTAAAATTAAAAGTTTGTATAAAATTTCGTTTCAATTTCATTATTACTTGTTACATTTCAATAAAACATTAAAATTCGGATTTGTTATCAAGATAACGGTTCTTAAAAATGTCAACTTTGTTTTTTCGAAAGTTCGAATGTTTGGTATTCCAAAGGTACATAAAATACAGAATCAAGCAGCATTTCTATTTTAAGTCCTTTACTAAGCCTTTCTGAAATTGTTTGTTTGAAGTTCCTATCTTTTTCAGCACCAAAGTTGTAATTAAAAAAACTTGACAAATAAAAATTTCATGGAAATTCGTTAAAATCCCTGGAACTCCGAAATCTTTAAGATTTGACAGCCAGTCCGGAGCAAAAGTTTTACCCATTTTCGATTCTCTAACCAATAGTATATTATATTGTTGTATACCTTTTAGAATCACCCTGTATATTATATTCAATTTCTATACATTTAAAGAAAGATAGAAAACTACAGTTTTTGTTTTTAAAGTACTTATTTTAAAATTAAATGGTGACAAGTCTGTAAAATCGAAACAGTAACAAAATAAATTGAGGCATTGTATTAAGCTAGTGAAGAAATTCACTCAACTTCAATAAAATATTTTTGAGATTACCACCAAACTACTTAACTTTCCTTATGTAACGTGTTAAGATTTTTATATATTAAGGGTTTATATATTATATAAGTCCTGCTTTTTTCATTAAATTGGTTGTGCATTGTAAATTGCATAACTCTAGAAGCAGAAAACCAAAGCAAGTCCCCTTATCATCTCTAAAGTTTAGTATAAAAGTTGGCTCCTTTGCATAAAACTCCATTTTTCCCTTTATTTTCATATTTTATTGAAAGATTAATTAGATTTTTTCAGATTTGGCTCTACTGTGACATAAGTTTTCCCGATTATACTGCCTAAGTTACTGGAGAAATATGAATAAGAAAACATTAAACATAGCAATTTTGTTAAGGAAAACTAGAACTTGTTCGTTAATATTTCGGCAATACCGATAATAATAGTTCCTGAGGCAAATTATTATAGAAAAGCGCATATAATTGCAGTTTGTCTTCTGTCAAAAATTATAGAAACTAAAACTACATAGCTGCAATTTTCAAGGTGCGAGTAATTATTGTGTAACATGCCAATTCCGAGATTTCTTCTTGTTTTATGAATCTTTCTTGGTAATGAAATGAAATGAATATAAAAGAAAAATAAAAATATCAAAGCATAATCTCAATCGATTTATAGCACTGTTTTTTATATAAATGCAAATGGTTCCGGTCGTTATGGTACGTACATATAAGCCTTTTATTTCTTACAGATCTTCATTTCTCAGCATTATAAATTGAGTGGCAAATTTATAATATTGCACGAATATAGTTCCTATATTGATTTGAAAATTTAAGATAGAAATATGAAATATTAAACGTAGAGACTTTTAAAAACCGTCATGGCTATGGATTTTTGTCACATAAAGCATAAGCCTAACAGAAGAAAATAAAATTTTAAGGGACTTGCAGCCATTTTTTCATATATTCACATTTATGTATGCTCCACACCTTTTTCTTTTTCTTTCAGTAATAACAATGAACCCATATACAAATAAAAAGAAGGTCTAAAGTTTTTATTTTTTTTTTTGAATGTAAAAAAAAATAAGTTCATTGTTAACTGAATGTAATTTGGTTTTTATCATGCCATAGTAATTCTTAGAACATTTAATAACGGTTTTATTTATTACTATAAAATATCTTTATTTTACACCCCTCTTATTCAATGTATCATTTAAACACTAAATGTCAGCTAGATCATAAAACGAAGGGTATAATGGCTAAACAGTTTTAGCGTTTTATCCTATTTATTTTTTTTTTCTTTTCTGTTTTCATTATTGTTATAAAACGTCGGAATTGAATAAGAGCAATGGTAACAAAAATGAGAAGAAAAAAAAAACTAAATGGACCAGTCTTTTATGAATGTAAAAGGCATAGCCTGCGAAATGAAAGTGTGATTTAGAGTGTGAAATTGAAACCATAATAAATTTTTGAATATGTCGCTCTATTTTTTCATTTTGCTTTTTTTTTACTGCCAGAGTTTTCATATTAGATAAATGTATAAATTTAGTATGTGGGATAATAGCGTCACATTACCACTTTCCTTTTTCATTTTTCGTTTTTCTTATCTTATTATTCCTGTTATTGTAGGTTTATATAAGTTTTGAGAAAATTCATGGTTTGTAAAGTAGCTCATTTCGGATTTCATATTAAACGTTTTCTTCATTTCTCACTGGGAGAGAAAAAAAACGAAGTTAAGTGTTCATTTCTCACAGTTCAATATCAAATGTGCAAAATTTAATGCACAAAATAGAATTTCTTATACTTCAAGAAATTCTAGGACGATGGAAAATCAAGTTTAATTTATCAAAAACATCTTAAAAAAAGCCTAGTTCATAATTAGAAAACGACGCGTAATTTTAAAAGCACAAAAGGTTAAAGGATAAGACGCATAACCAAG